TGCAGGTGAATACTAAAAATTACTTTGAAATAATAGCATCTACAGAAAATGATATCTTCTACATAAATTTAAATTTCAATAATATATATGTTTTATCTGATACTCTCTTTATGTTTGAGGGTATTATAAATGATCTGAAGCTTAAATCACTGGCATACTTGACAGTCTCAAAGTCTAGGGCAATTTCAATAGATTATGATCTGAATGTTGCATCACTGAGTCTTTTCAACTATGATAACATGGAGCAGCTAATTAACCTGAAGGATTCAGATACTAATATCTTCATTTTATCCTTATCAATCTGACTACTCATTATTATGTTGAAGCAGCTACTGATTGACAAGTGATATCAGCAATTGAGTTATATTAATAAGAAGAATCTAATTAAAATGTTATGAAAGTTCTGTTTCAAAATTGTCATCATTAGTCTGAAGAAGCTCTTAATCTGCATCACATGTGTTAAAGTCAAGCATAAATATACAAGTTATAAAAATATTCTGCTACACTATACCACTCACAAAGATCTTAAGATCTGAAGAAACCTATTTGAAGGTGGAGAAATTCTTGATAATGAAGAAGATACACTATCTTATGCAGATAAAAAGCTTGTGATGATGATCACTGACAATGTTATACAAATGTAGTAAATCTTTCTATTGAAGTGTCACAATAAGACTCTAAAATATATACAGATCTTCAATTAATTTATGAAAAATCTGCTCAATTACAGTATCATGATTATTCACTCTGATTGCAGTAAGTTGAATTCAAACACTGCAGCTGCCTATATAATGAGTGAGAGTATTAAATGAGAATCAATCTCATCTCATACTCTGTAGCAAGATGGTATATCTAAATATTCTATTAGCCTGATTATCAAAAAAGCTCAAATATTATTAATAGATTTCTTCTCTTCCCCTCATATGTGAGATGAGATGGTAATTGCAGTAATTAAAATATTTAATCTTATATTAACATTAGTCAAGCTCTATAACAGTGTAGAAGATTCAGATTCAAAGTCAGTTATCTCATATGAAGCTTGACTCAGGGCTCTGTCCTCTGCATATGAGATTCACTGATGAGAATGCAAGGCTTATTTAAAAATAGTACTCAAGTTGAATATAAAAATAGTTTTATAATTGCAGAAGCTTATATTTACAGACTATGATAGCTTTACTAATTATAAATTAATTGGTCTTTCTAACAGTCACTTTTACATATTGAAAGATATGATATTTCAGAAAGATCTTCATTTAATGAATTCTCTGATCTCATCTGAGTGAGATGTCAAGAACCTATCTTCTGTTGTCTATATAACTGTGATTGCAATTCTCTCCACTCAATGCAATTTATCAACAGATAATTTCATGATAGATAGAAAGTTTCTATCTGCCTCTCTGATATTTCTACACTCTATAAATAATTGATGAATAGATTATGAGATTACTATGCAGATTTCAACATTTTTGATGTAGAATACTACTGCTTTTCCAGGGTCTGCTTTAAAGATGAAGGATTTTTTAATACTCACTAAAAATATTACTTCAATAAAAGAGGTCTCAATGAGAGATTTTACCAATAATTTAACTAATATCTCTGCAGATTCTGAGATTGCTAACTTGCTAGTTTCAAAGAATTTCATCTGAGCTCAAGTATCTGCAGATTAGAAATATTACTTTCTTATCTATATTAAGAAGATTAATCATCTTAAGCAGATTGATACATGATAGCTAGTTGAAAGAACTTCAAATATGATGACTTTACATGATCAATGAGTGTTCAACAAAAAGATTAATAATACAGGTAGAATCAATTGATATAAAATCTGCTGAGTAGTCTGTAGCAATTATCAAGAAAAGAATGTCAACTATTAAAAGACATTCATATCAGTTGTATTGGTCTCCATCTCTCAAGCACTTATGATGATCTTGATATCTCAAGAATAGCATGTTCTGCAGATCAACATGGTTACAGTGTTCTTAAATACCCAGCTTCTCACCAATAAATGTATATATACATTAACCTGCCAGGTTCTATGAGGAATATGATGATCTGATATGCAAATTAATGTAGAAACTATATGATCTAAAGCAAGTAGTATTATTATGATATGAGAAGCTGCAAAAAATGCTATTGAAAATAGACTTTTACATCAGTTCTTATGATGTTGATTTTTTTATAAATAATATCTGCAAGATCTATATAATCATCTATATGAATGATGTTTACCTATATAGCCTGAATATATCAGATATTGAATAGACAAAAGTCCAGATCACCACTAATTATGAGATCAAGGATGTGAGCAATTCAAATCAATATTTAAATATGAAGATTAATTAAGATGTTAAATTATTATCACTGTCTCAGCCACTATTTATAAAGAACCTGCTTGAGGAATTCTCAATGAATGACTGCCACTCAACATCCTTTTCTATAGAGGAGCATGTTGATTTCATAAGTGATAACAAAGAACTGATTACTTATATAGCAGAATTTACATTACATTTCTATCAATCAGAGATTAACTCTCTGCAATATCTTACTGCCAATACACATTTTAATATAAACTTTATCACTGACTTTCTAGGGAGATTCAACTTCTACTTTATCTCAAAGAATTGAACAACATTCAAGTAAATTCTTAGATATCTACAAGGTATACCTGACATAGATGTGTCCTACTGAAAAGATATGAATATAGAATCTATAGTATTTACTAATACTGATTGAGTGAGCTATGATCTAGGTTTCTGCTTCATCACTGAATATGTTATTTATATAGCAAAGGGTCTCATTGCTTGGTGAAGCAGCAAGCAGACAGGCATTTCAAAATCATCTACTGAGGCTAAATATATCACATTCTCAGAGGCTATCTATGAGCTTGTCTGCCTCTAGGAATTGCTGGAGGATACCAGCTTTGTGTTATTCTAGCTTAATAATCTCAATAATAATGACAGCTTGATCAAATCACTGACCAATAAGCTAGTATATACAATTCAGATGAATAATAAATCAGTAATTGAACTGATCAAAAGTGAGGCTATTCCACACTGATCTAAGCATATAGAGATTCATTTCCATACTCTTTAGAATCTCATCTGTAAGAATGAGATCTTAATTGATTACATTCTATTCACTGAGAATGCAGCAGATAGGCTGATCAAGCCACTTGGGACAACTAGATACATCCTATGACAGCAGATATTAGAAGATACAGTAAGCAGGCAGAAATGATTATATGGAGAAAATAACTGATTTTTCAACAATATAGATTTTCCAGTCAAATTATGTACTGATACCTAGCTACAAGCTATTTTTTGTATATAATCTCGCATACAATTACATTGGTGAGTGGGGGTGTCAGGTCTATCCACCTTCTTATGTAATTCACATTATATATAACTTCCGCGTAGCTAGCAATCACTTCATAATCAATCAAGCAATCTATCCTTCACACACAGGCCTTGATAATTTGGTCAAAACCTTTCACAAAGTCTTGAGACTGACCCTTCACTAAGCTCTTGATCTTATTCACCTGCCAGTGTAATTGCTGGGGATTACTAGGTGTTTGAAGCATCCAGGACATGGTTGAATTGCTAGAGCTGCTGCATGGGGGGGTAGAGGTTCATAGTTGAATATTCAACTGCTGAAGGATGTAGTCAGGCTGAAAGAGCACTATTCCAGTTGCCTTGAAGCCATTTTGAATAGTCTGAGGTTTGAAGGCTGCAGCACATGTTGCAGAGTAGACATCTAGAAAATCTGCCTTTCAAATGACATTAAATTCAAGCTGCATTCACTGCTGAACTAGATCTTCATACACTCACTTTAAAACTGAAAAAACACTCATATCTAGTGACTGCAGAAGATGAGAGGAATGAGACAGCATGCAAAGGCATATTATAGCATTATCCTTGCAGATTTGATCAAAATCTGAGGTAAGATGACTGCTGTGCCTGTCCAGAATAAGAAGAATAGATTTATCAGCTCTGTGAGAATCTGCTGCTGGAATAAACATCCATTGAAGCCATCTCAGGCCTATTTCATCAGTAGTTCAACCATTTGGACTGGCATCTAGCCTCCAGCCTTCTGGAAGGCCTTCAAACCAACCTTCCAACAAGCCCTGGCCTTTGAGGATGAGATAGGGAGGTAGAGCCCATCCTGACACATTGACTGATTCAATTACAGTTACTCATTCACAGTTTCCAGGCTGTAGGAGCTTTGCTCTGCCATAGTGCTCACTACTAGTAATGACCTTAGTAGTGGCACAGAGCCCCATAGCAAAGCCAGTCTCATCAAAGTTGTATATATCCTCTGGCATAATTTCATGCTCAGCAATTGTATCTTCTAAGGTCTTAAATCAATTTTTTATAACCTGCTCATCTTCACACTTGGCCTGGTCATGATTATAGTGTCTGGAATAGCAGCTTTGGAGCTCCATACAACATTTAATCAGCCTTGAAATCCAGTTCTTGCTGACCTGAGAGGGGGAGATAGTGGAGACAGTGGAATTCCATAAGATAAGAAGATAATTAGCAATATCTTCAACAAATGCTGGCTGGGAGAGGAATCCTCATCTAGCTTGGTCCAGCACTCATTCAACTAGGCTATCCTCTTCAGCAGCAGATAATTTGTGAGAGTTTGTGTGTAAATTCACCCGTGAGGGCTGGTGTTTGAGGTGATCTTGAAGAGTAGACCTAGACACATTAAATAGCTTTGCAGCTTCATGAATTGAGAGCTTTTCATCATTTTGAATAGATTTTATCATGAGTTCAATCCTCTCCTCTTGCTCAACTGAATTTGAAGAGTTTTTCTTGCATTTTGATGGCATAATTGCGCGTTGAATTGAATGAGCAGTTAAATTAGTAGGTGGAGAAATTTGGTGGCCGACTCAGTGTGATGGCCGACTCGGTGTGGAATTACGTTAGTTAACTACGTCAAATTTGTCAGCAAGACTAAAACCTGATAGTTCCAGATAGCAACCTTCCCTCTTACCCTTTTTATGCTTCTGCCTCTTTAACTTTCTCTTTACTGGCTAGACGACGTTCACGATCCCTTACCGAAGAGGGCAAAACCAGTCGCTTCTGGCCCGGAGAGCACTCCCTTGCCATTGGAAATGCAGTGAGGACGTCGTGAGGTATATGCCTCTGCTCATTACATTCCACTCCCTGCCATGTCGTTAATGCCACAATAAAGGCAAGGTCACTCGTCTCACACAATGCTGGCTTCCAAGATTTGAACCAGGTTGGGGAGCAAACAAAGTCCAACGCCTCTTCAAATCTCCTGTCCCCGACCATCCCATCACACTCAGGACGTGATACATTCAAAAATAAGAAGCTGAAGCTTTCTTGGGTGGATTTAACCTTTGAACTGTGTCAGGAGGGTAAGCTTAAATGCGATGACCCAAAGTGTGGAGAACTCTTCCTCAGGGGCACGTGGTGTCGACCAATCATGGGCCTACACCATCCCGTAAACTCTGTCTCAACCACGGATCTGCAGGATAAGGGGGTAACTACTTAATAATGAAAACTAGACCAGTTATTTTAACTGGCAGCCATCACTTCAAGTCAACAAACCATTACTTCCCCTAGAATGCCACTGGGGACATCCATCTCCTGTTGTGGAAGGTCCCACGTTTCGAACGGTGTTTTGGTGTTTATTGTACGGAGTATTTCTTTTCTCATTATGGACGTAATTACGAAGTTTGACGGAATAGACTGTGCTTCATGCTCACAAAAAGAAGGAAAACGAATTTCTAAATACAAACACATTCATACATGGCGTCGTTATCTACATCAAATTATAAAAGTTTTCATAAAGCTTCATAAATGGAGACCTCATCAGGAAGAAAAGGAACAATAATACAGGCAGTTTAATTAGGGGGGGAGTAGAAGATGGGGAACATTCAGATAAACTCTGATTCTCGTACATGTGTGCATCAACAGTAGGCAAAAAGAAGTTTAAAAATGTGATTAGAGGAGCAGTACGCAGGCAAAGAGATCTGGTGAAAATTAGTTCAGAAACACTCAAAGCAAAGCAGGGAAAGTTAGGGCAAAGGCAAACGGAAGCAAGAGCGCGCTCGAGTCTGTAAAGATGATTTGGTGATTAAGATAGCCATTCTTTTTGAAACATCAACCCTGCATCGTTTCATCACATTCATCGTTTATCATCGTAAGATCCAAGCCACGAAAATTGTGGGGAAAGGGAGTCAGTACTTGCCCAAAATATAACTTAATGAAGGAAATAAAGAAAAGGAGGAGATATAATTCATCACTTAGACATTGTAAACAGGCTGTCTCCCCGAACTGCTTCTTCGATGCCGAGAACTTGAGTGGCCACGACGCCTAGAATGAGAGCCTCGTCTGCTGCGCGAGCTTTTCTCATGCTCCTCTTCATGATGATGCATGAAATACGCCAGCACTGACGTAACAAAAAATGAACCAATGTTCATAATACCAAACGCAAACGCCGTCTTCAGCATTGCGCAGACCTTACCCGGATTGCGCGCCAGCGGGTTATTAGAGCGCTGACCTGCGAAACCGAAGGGCCCCAAGGAAATTGTCAATGGGTCCAGACGGAAATTGCTGCAGTCTGAGTTGGTGATGCGTCGCAGTTGATAGACACCGGCGATAAAAGCGCCGACGAAGAGGAGATCGACGAATGCGACGAAGGAGGCGGAGCGTTTGGCGTTGGAGTGTCGGATGAGGGTGTCGAGGGCCCAGAAGACGCCGAGGACTGTAGAGATGAAAAGGACGAGGATGTAGGTTGGGGTTAGTTGGTTGTTTTTGACGAAGCCGTCGACAAACCAGGACTGAATAGGTGGCTTTGTTAGCTTATGATTTATTTATAATAGGGATGGCATGGATCAATGTGGGCGGGATTTTCTGTTCAGCTTCTGTGCTTACTAGAATGCCAATCGGGATGATTAGGGTAACAATTTGACCCATTCGCCAACAAATAAAGAGAAAACCGGCAATCATATTTTCAAGCGTAAAGATTTTAACACACTTCGAAAGTTAAGATGGGTGGTGCGTATAGCAGATGCTATCAGTTTCGCTGCGGTTACCAGCGTCTGGATGAACAGATGTTCGTAAGATTCGAGCACAAGACTCGAACAACACGCCAATAAAAACAAGTTCTAGCGCGTACTATCACTTCAGAAAAGAAAAGATGCGCAGTGGCTGCTGTACGCACGACTGTCTTCCGTTCTCAGAGAGGGTTGTTTATTCGTCCCAGTGAGTATGAGAAGGATGATGCATAGTGAAGGTGTTCGAGGACGACATAAGGCGAGATCTGCGCGAGATTCTGATGTTAATACGACCAACCACATCAACACAGCTGCGCCAGCAGCCGACCAAGTCGGACGTAATGCTGTAAGGCTGTGGGAAAAGCTGTTGTAATTGGCTGTTGGGCCGATGTGGGTGGCTGGGAATGACTGAAGGATTTAAGTCGATGGCGGGGTATTGAGCCCCTAGCAGCCCAGTGCACCACCAACATTGGACAGATCCAGTTATCGATAAGCCGTTGGATGTCAAAAGAAAGAATTGGGGGCATTGACACTGAAAAGACCAGTGAAAGGAACGATGTGTGAATTTAAGGTGTTCTCCAGATTATCTACATCTACATATCAATTATTGTTTACTTGAGATATACTTCGTCCGTTGCAAGTTGTATTTGATCTGATCCAGGGCACGTGACGCTGTCCAAGGCACCCATGTTATTTGGTGAAGCAAGCATGGATGCCAATCAACAAGGAATAAAAACAATAGACATTTTATTTGTCCATGAGTTTCCTGGAAACATTGGCCCTCTTGACTCTTGGCAGAACTCCCTTTGCAGTGAGGGAATTATGTTCAATCATACATGAAAACCATATAGTTCAACTACATATTCCATGAATGAACAGCACAGTATCTCCATGTGGATACACTCAATTCAGCAAAGCCATGGTAGATGATAGTTACTAATCATGAAAACAACACTTTGCCCCCGAAGAGTAAGAACATAGAAGAAAATTACGGAGAATGAAGGAATGAAATTTCAAAGAGAGTATTCTTTTTAATCCCTTGGTTTGCCTCATTCACCCCATTCCAAAATACCACACATACCAGGGGGGAGTCAAGAAATCATTTGACAAAAAGAAAGGTATTTCAATTTCCCTCACTGATCTCCGAATGGACCCGTTGGCGGTGAAGGAGGGCATGAATAAAAGACGAAGTTAGAGGACATAAGGTGTAAGATAAAAGATCCTCACTCTTCAAGGATAACCCGCCCTCAGCTTCAAGATATAGACGAAGTAGAAAAGAAATGTATACGCAACAGAATGAATCTTGTAAGGTCACAGGAAAGACCACGCCTGGAGGAACATAGAGTGGATGTTAGACACTAGCAGGAACAGTAAAAGAAAAGATCATATAGTGAAACCCAAGCCCTCGCTGACAAAGATAAGATGTACAGTAGTACGTATGTAAGAACATAATCCCCGCATAGATAAAAATTATGCCCACGTAAACAAAAAACCTCTATTGAAAATAGGCCAAACGCAATTGCACTTAAAAAGACTTAACAAAAAAGAAAGGAAAACAAGACAACACAGGGGAACAAAAAAAGAAAGGAAGATGATAAGGTGATAAGATAAAACAAAGATCCTGAGCCAGTATGGGAGAAAGCAACTGTCGACATCAATGCCAGATAATTTCTCTATCTGCAAGGGGTGAGATGGGGAACAACCATGTATATACATATGTATAATCAACCATGAAACCCAAAGCCGTTGTTTGACAAGATCAAAAATCGGATCGTCGGCCTTTATTAAAAGAGGTACTTGCCCAATGCATAAATGGAGTGGGGGAGGAGAGGGGGTAACTTGACAAGTCAAGTCCAGCAAATACAGTCAACTCGCACAATCCTGTATTTCCTCCCAATAGGAACCACGTTGATTGCCGATGGACGGGGAAAACAAAAGCGGACAAAAAGGGTATATATATAGCATGAAGCCAACGGTTGACAACGAAGAAGAAAGATTGGGAGGACTCGGTAACCAGTACAAAAAGGGTAAGGCAAGTGAAGGGAAAAAAGGTACATCGTAAACAATTAAAATTTCATAAACCCAAATAGGCATTCGTCTATTTTATGGTTTTCTTTGCTCTTTTTCCCTCTCATTTTATTTCAAGGAGAGTGTTAATGGTTGAATCATCAATTTTTCAATATAACTGGGTGGGGGACACGGGACGTTCACTTTCTCCTTCTGGTAGAGTGTGTGCCGGAGCGAGCGATTGAGTTCTCAGATATGGCTGATAGCTCGTCTGTTGCTGGTAGACATTTTTGGACTCGCTGCGTTGAGACCGAGTCCCATCACTGGGCTGCATTTCATATGCCACACCGATCGAGTCACCTCTTGATGAAGAGTAGTTTCGATCCACGTCCGGCTTTCGTCTTAAGTAAGGGTCTGACGAAGATGCTTGGTCGGTTGAAGAACGGCGTACATGTGGGGTTTTGTGTGTGGACTCATTGTTTTGGTCAGTTGGTCTAACCTGACATTCCAGATCTGTAGGACGAAGGGGTGCAACTGAATCATCGTTTGATCCATCTAGATCAAACAGGTTTCGTCCCGCCATTGGAGGGCCAACTGGGTCAGTTCCCCAGGTTCGAATTGGGTATGCGCGCCCTTTCCTCCACGATTCCTCGAGGGGTGGGAAATATTGGCGGTAGGCAACGTAGGCGCATAATATGCCTAGAAAAGAGCCAAATAGCACATCAAAGGGGTGATGTCGGGCATCCATTATTCGCGTTACAGCAATCAGCCCAGCTCCAAGGGTTGGGAATAACACGATGAATGTTTTCCACACTTCACCCCTGTTATCTAGGACGTGAAGTTTGCCTGCTAGGTAAAGGGAGAGATAAAAGAGGCCGGCGAAAGAGGCTACACAAAAATTATATATTAATATCAACAACGATAAATGCATAGCAAAAACGCGATATGGAACATGATTGCCCTACAACTTGAATGCCCTGAATATATTAAGATACGTGTTAGTATATGTACATACACTCAAACAAAAGATACATTTATATTAGAGGCCACATACCTGATGGAAATGATCTATACCCATCCTGCAATATGCGATAAGGTGTGGATGTGTTACACATCTTAAAAGTCACCATATCAAACCGTCCTAAAGATCCAGTATTTTCTGGTTTACAACGATCGATAATATCTGGTCGCGGTTTGCCGACGGCATTTTTAAGGGCGCCCGTAATCACAAAGGCGCTTGCTTGGGCCAAAAATAAACCCAAAAATCCGCAGTTACATTCCCACAGTCTATCTTTTAGGCTGTATGGACCCATCAGCTTCCTTTTGCCGGACAAGGTCATGGGTTTATGGTGCGAGAAAAGGCCATCGATAACAATGGTATAGAAGAAGATGATGACAAGTGGGATGCCTCCAGAGATGGCTAGTGCGAGTGGGATGGAGATTCGTTCGTGGACAGTATATGGATAGTATAGGGAGTGATTGTTCAGAGAGAAAGGTTGGTGGAAAGGTTCGATGTGGTCAAGAATGTAGAATCCAGCGACGAGAGCTCTATATATGAGGCTTTGTTAGCCGGTACTATACCTAGCATGGAAGGAGGTCGCATGTCATAGTTATCGTTTCTGAAGGAACGTACACTAGAATGACATAGTCGAAGATGTATCTGAGGTAAGAGATTAGCAAAGTTCGCTCTTCAATGGAGATATAGACGGCGGTTCCTTACGAGATGATTATTCGAGTCCTGAGAGGTTTCTTTGAAAACGGTAGAGTGTTTGGGAGCGTGCTGGCCATGGTGGCTTGTTGGAAGAGTAAGGGGAGAGGTACGAGATCGCAAGGGCAACGAAAGACGACAAGCCTAAGATGGAGAATTAAAGAGAGGGCTCCACTGCGTGATGCACCCAAAAAGGGGGCAACTGATCAACGGGTCCACAACAGAAAAGCAAAACAACGAGGAGGAAGAGAAAGACGAAGAAGAAACCGATGAATTGCGATGGAAAAGAGAGTTGAGACAACTCCTGGGCGGTTAGTGAAGTTTGCCAAGTAGGATAGCGTCAGCCACACTTCGGGGATCGATCCACACTTAGCAACAGATGCCTTGAGTCTGCGGAAGATATTCCAACTAATTACAGAATCTAACAGAAAAACAGCAGTTTTTGTCATAAATGAAATATTTTTCTCTGTTCTTCCGCGCCTTCAAAAGATACGAACATCACTTCGAACTGACCGCGCGGCACTAGAGTCCGTTTTTTACACTGAACGTAACGTAAACCCACTAGTTACCCCAACAACTTTAGTTGTGGAACCCTTAAATCTTCAACTCCTTAACTTTATCAATATGTATATGTACAAGCAGTAATTGATGTTTTAAAATTGCAATCAAGCATTTATAAACTCAGATTGGGAAAGAATATAAAATCAATCAGATTACATTGATGAATTTTTAACTTTTTTCTAAATCTTATACTTATAAACATATACTGATGCTTGTACTTTAAAGATTTTTCATGTTAAAAGTTTCTATTATAGTCACACCTCAGACATTCTTCTGAGATACTTTTTTTCAGTAAATGTGAGTCAAATGAGTAGTTCTCTATTCAATTTTACAAAGTTAAAGTCTTTTAACTCAATTTGTAGTTAAATCAGTTTTATTTTTTTAATTGAAAATTAAGATAAAAATATTGTAAAATAAAATTTATTTATTTATTATTTCTTTCTAAAAATATCTTAGTTTTAAGTATTTTCTTCATTTTTTCATTTTAAAACTTTTTATTTTTAATAAAATATGCTTCAAATTTATATAGAAAGAATTACTACTAAATTTTTAAAAATAAATTTTTAATAAATAATGCAATAATAATAAATTTAAATTTAGATAAAACTAGATAATACTGAGATAGAGTATCAGCACCAATGTCACATAATGTTGATTATGAGGAGTTGAATGAGTAAGTTTGACTAGTTAAAAAGCAGACAAGTATATATATCTATAAATAGAAGAGGTAATGAAAAATTAAAAGTACAAATGATTGTATAAAGAATTGTATGCATATTTCAAAAGTTCTGATATATATATATATATATATATAAATGAATCATTGAATCTCTAAACAGTAAGTTAAACAACTATCTATAAAGCTGCTATCAAGTTTTTATTCTTCATGAAATGTGACAAAATGCTGTTCTACTTATTAGAGAAGGTGAAGACACCTTCTAGATATCATTAGTGATGTGATTCTCATGGTCTTCTGAAGTGATGATCTATACAACCATCCAGTATAAAGATGAGAAAATATGAATATCACATAGAGAAGGCCGCAGTGTCGCCTTGACAAGATAAGATGTGTTGACAAAATCCTATGACTATGATATTAGATTTTAATTTAATATCTTAAAATCTCTAATTAGTTTCATTTTTAACATGAGAAATTATTTTTATAATATTAATTGAATTTTATTTAAGATTTTGAAAATTAACTTCTTTTTTTAAAAGCTTTTAATTTAAAGGTATTTTACTTTATACTTTTTTCTTTTAAAAAAATAATTGAATATTTAAATATTATTTCTTAAAATATGTTTTTTAAAAGATTCAAACCAGTTAGACAATTTAAGCATACTTTTAAATTATGCTTAAACTTGCTATTTAAACTTAAGTTTTTGTAACTAGCATTTAAGATCGATTTATTATTCAAAGTTAAAGAGAAGATTGTTACTTAAGCGAAATTTGAACTTAAATGATTTCCTTCAAGTTTTATATCCATAAATAAAAAAAAAGAGTCTTTATTTTTTATTTTTCTCAATTTGAATGTAATTCTTGAGAATTTAAACAATAGTTTCTAAGTTTTATATCTTTGAGACTACTTGCTCTCTTTTTCTCTCTCTCTTCATTATTTTAAACTGATAATTCAAAATTTAAAATAAATTTTACATAAATTCTTTAGAACTCAATATATAGACTGAGCTCATATCAGTTACTTTAAGTATTTATTTATTTTTAAATTAGATAAAGCTAGTTAAGTTGACCGTATATTCCGCTGTCCCCCGTGTCATTCAATCGGTCCAAGTCCGGGCCATGAGTTTTTCGTGCGTTGAACAGTCATTGATCGAAGCCATTATATCGCACGAGAGAATTTCACAGCCTGGCCTTCGGGGAAGATCAATTCCTCTTCATTATTGGCCGACGCGTGAGGATGAAGGTCGTGCGAAGGAATACGTAGCAAGGGCGTCTCATTCTGGAGGTTGAGGGATGATGGGATTCCGCCGTAGTCAAAGAAGCTTCTTTACATGCTCATTAAGCAATACAAGATGCTATTTTCGGGGTAGCGTGGTTTATGAAAAGGAAGAGAAAGATATGTTGGATCTCGACAGAGGAGTTCTATCCACTCATTTTAGGGTCTCAAGTAAGCATGCATGGAATACGATACCGACGTTATAGGAATATGCATAAATACTACATATGCTCTCCTGTCCTGTCCTTGGCAACCATCCATTGTCCCACACCAAGGTCTAATCCAAATCTGTGATGAGCCTCAGACTCTGGCGCTTAATCAATCTGGTTCTTCCATCCAGGTGAACGCTCTGCTCAGCAACGTAAAACTACCTGCTGCTCTCTCTCCCAATGAACATGGCTTCGCATCAAGCAAAACACCAGAAAAGGAGAGGGCATGAATCGTCTACGTTAGTTACAAGCAATAGTGAGTTGTTCGTTCAGAAAGAAGCACTACACAGTGCTTGCCGAAGAGCGCACGCCTCTCTTAAAGATATTGTTCCTGTGGGCTGGAAACTAAACCTCCAACGAGTTGCTCACTCGGAAAGACTGTATGATGCTCGTCTTCTTCAGGGTGCTATGGAAAACTAATGATCATGGTTAGGAAATACAAGTAAACGGTCGTAAACGGAAGCGAGCCTGGGAATCTGCAGAGCCACCTGCTGCGTCCAGCCAGGCATTAATCGCCCTTCAATCAGGGCCATCGATCTAGAGGTAGCTTAATCGCCCCTATGATCCTATGACAGCTGTTTTATGTATGACCATGCCGATGGTATTAACAGTGACAGCAAGTCTATCTGTCGTCAAACACTGAGTGCAAATCCCGAGGTTTCCAATGGAACTGTGTTTGAAGAAGGTGCCTATGAATCAACGTGCCGAAGGATACAAAAGGGGAACGAGACTGGAGTTATTCACATTATAGATGAATTAATTGTTCCGTCAGCAGAGAGTGCAATTCAACCTCAGTCACAGCGCATTCCCACATTTGGTTGTCAGTGTGAATGGAGCTTGGGATGGGTCGATTTCTCTTGATGAATCTCAACAATTGTCATTGAATCTATTTTTATTTTTAATTTTATTTTTTTTTGGCAACCTTCGCGATCTCAACAATTTTAAATTACCCGGCCGTAGCCGGGTTATGCTGTAGGTTTTTGGCGACATCTTTTACCGAAACCCAGTTTGAAAAACTTGCTCCATTCGTTGGCGATGTTGGTGACACTTCTTTCGTTATGAGTACATCATACATGTATTTTCCATTCATGACGGGCCGAAGTGAAGTGCGGAAAGGAGGCACTTGATATTGCAGATCGGCAGAATACGCACAGCATGATTCTCTCAGGAAGTGGATCCGTCAGGCTCTTCAGGCTCATGAAGCGTAAGAAAGAGCTGCATCGACAGATTCTGGCGTTTTCTGTTTTACATGATCATTGAATGGTCAGGATCTACGCCCATTACCCTGTGATCGACGGAGAGAAGACCACCTATTATCGTCGTTCCATTCGTTCCATTCGGAAATTTAGTTTCGCGGATTTGGACGGCAGAGATATATGGACATCTTACAAGTCTGTGATGGGTTTGTCTAGTGACTGGGAGCCTTTTCATTTTGAATGATTATGTTCCGCTATCGGTGATCTTCCGATTGTCTACTTTGACAGGTCGCAGCGGTCAGAGACACTCCCCAGCCTGAGGTACTATGTCAACCCAAGCTGAGGTTCTCAGAATCAACTGAACTTTCTCAAGGTGTCGAAGGTGTTGCTATACAAGGTTCAAGTTTTGCCTCCCCCCCCCACCCCTTCGCAGAATACTCTCTCAAATACTCCTTAAAAAAATCTACAGAAGCGTTCAAAGTGCCAAGGAAAAGACGCAAATAGTTATGATTATAGAAATCATGGAAATGATGATCCACCTGGGCAAGTAATTCCATACTAATGAGCCATCATTTCATCGCCACCTCGATGGAATGAGTGAATGATAAAGATTTGTGTAAAGGAAAGGATGAATGACTAAAACCAGCAAATCTTTCACTCAGTGACTTATAACCGCAAAAACGTCTCTCATCGGGCTTAAATGTCTTTCGGGGACGAACCCATCAAGAAGCCGTTACCAAAACAAGATCCTTGTTGGAAAGTTACGGTAGACTGGGGTTTTTGCTCGAAATCAAAAGATGGACGGACAATAGTCGATCAAAAACAATTTCCCAGCCTATATATCCGCATCCGCATCCTCATTCCCCCCAGACCATAGCAATCACTTGTGCAAGCTGTCTTGCTGCCAAGGTTGTATGCATAAACCAACACTGCCTCCTCACGATATCTTTCTGCTATCGGGCTTCACGGCTTCCTTGTCCATTGGAAGTTATAAGTGTGTCCTATATAGCGGAACTCACTTTGCCATCTGATCTGTTCCGCATGCAAGGGTGATTATAAGGTCGCGGCCTGGAATAACAGTGGCTATTAGGTAGTAATTTGCTGTTACGCAATACTACCCAAGTTGTCCATCTCTGATTCTACGACTGTATGTTATTTTGTGTAGTGCCTTCCGGGTCGTCCCGTTCACAAAATTAACGCAACCCACCGATCTAGTTGGTCAGTTCGGTTGACAACTTATTATCCTTGTCCAATTGCCCAGTGCCACGTATTTCCATTTTTGTCAAAAAAAGAAAAAGAATAAAATAAAGAAATAAAAGCATTGTCGATCCAGGAGAGAAACATTGGCGCTTCGGAATTTCTTTTGAAACAATAGGGACACTTGTAAAACGCAGAATGCCGTCGGAGCGGTGCCATTCTGTAAGAGTGAGTCCCACTTATAAACGCATGCATCTAATCCAATCATGCTCGTAGCAGCTCCGAAAAGGTAGGATGAGAGACGATCCGAGCCACGAAGCACACAATCAACAGGTAAGAACCAGGAGAAGTTTTGGGCTCCATATTGGGTCATCCCGCACTAAATACATCAGACCTATGATTATCCTACGGTCAGGATATCCTTTGAGATGGTCGGGACTTCCTGGATGGAAGCACGAAGAAGACACATTGGCATATAGAGATATCCGGTTTTGTGGGCATCCATGTTGAGCAGTCTTTGTAATATATCTCTGATAGACATCCCCTCTCCATATTCAAACGGAATCACCCCCATCAACGCAAATTTGTACTTTCGTACCACCTTAACTATAACGTCTGTCTCACGCAGCCAGAACCTTTATCAAGCATCCCTCTAATTGGCGTTACGGTCAACTCAAAAAAAAAATATGAGCACCACGAGCGGTGCTGGAGGGGGTGGGAATAACCTGTCCTATAAGCTCCCCTTGCCTAAGGACGAAGAAATACTTGAGCTAGCCGCGAAAGCGTCAAGGGAACGCAGAGAAGAGACGAAGGAAATAAGAGAAAAGCAACAGGCTAACCGAGAATTGATGGAAAGGGCAAGGAGAGATTCTAAGGAGCGTCAACAAGGAGGTCAAAGTGCCACCACCTAAGAGTTGGCTTCAAGTTAGTACTCAAGTATTGGTTGCTACAGACCATGAATTCTGAAGAGTCCTAGGTTTCTCCGACCCTCTCTCCGCTATTGACTTGATGGCCGTCAATTGTGGGCCTTATTGAGATTGTGGAGAGAACTCATAGTGTTGCTGATGATTTCATGTCAAAAGATTCACTATAGGCTTACAACAATGCATATTCCTTCTCATAAGCCGCATTCTGCTCCATCTTCATCTGTACAAATGACTCTAAGTCTCCTCGTAGCTTGTCGTCAAGCAAGTTGACATCAGCTTTACCCCCATAATAAATCATGTCTAACTGGCGATAAAAGATCGCATCCACATCTAAGCTCTTTCTAGCTGCGAAATTGAACCAGAACTCTCCGCTCGTCCAAGAGTTGCGCATTAGCTTGGAAATGCATTGCATACCGGGCTTTCTGCTACACTTCTCAGCCTCTATCTGCTCCAGGGCGTATAAAAACTGTTCCAGTCTAGGTGTATACTGAGCCACAAACTCTTCCATGGTATAGCCTCGTTCCAGCCACATATCCGGGCCTACCAACAATAGCCACCAGGGTGGATCACAAGCGAACTGTGCGGGCATAGCATTTGTGAACTCAAGGTCAAGGACTGCGGTGATCTGTAAGGTTTCGCTGTTCACCATAATGTTGGCAGGTCGGAAGTCATCACAAAAGAGTTTGAAAGGACCGTTCTCATTGATACAGTTCTTTGCAGCTAGCTGCTGAAACAGATGGCGCGCAATATACCGCCTCATAGCATCCATAGGATCAATGGCGAGGTTGCGCTGGGTGTGGAGGTGAACCAAGTGTTGGTCCGCAAGACTCTTGAAGTATTCATTTGCAGATGCAAAGCGCTCCGTAGGTAATCGATTAATTGGATAACCCGTGCATGTGGCCAGTTCGTTCATATTATATGTCAAGGGCCTTCCAGTGACGGCCCATGTATTTGCGCCTTCAGCGACTTCCGATATAGCTCCGATGTGAGTGAAATCGAGGTTGTAAAGTTGAAGCATGAAATCAGCTATCTGACGGTACACAATGTTCAATGTGGTGTCATCAATATCAGGGTTCAGTATTTCCTTTTCTTGATTGTTCGCAGTCGGCTTCTTCAAGATGTCTGACAAATGTATTCCTTCGACGTATTCCATGATGATAAAAGGCCCTAATTGCTGAGGGCTGTCCACAGTTAAACCCCAGCTTATCAAACGAGGCAGAGGAATGCTGGTTCGTTGGCGAAGGAATTTCATAACTTGCACCTCTTTCTCCACTTTTTCATCCCGGAAAGCTGTAAACCCAGGTTTAGTGAACCGGATTACAGCGTCAGAGCAAGTATCTTTAAATTTAATACGAATGCAGATATTAAAGGAACCCCGATAAAAACGGACAATCCTCTCGGGAACACCACCCTGGCGACGGAGAGCGACGAAATCAGCTATTTCTTCTATGGAATCCAGAACTCTGTCCTTCCAAGCTACCCATTCTGCTTCACCCTTTGCCTCGGCGATCTCGTCAGCAGAAGTCATCGTCACTTGATCACCAGTAAGACGCAAGAGCCTTGGGGCCGATTTGGGTGACGAGACCGCTGGTTTGCCGTCCAGATTCCCTTTTGCACGCGGTCAAGGTCTCTGAACCTAAAATAATACTGGAAAATAAGATGTGGTTGGTTCTGGTGAAGTTGTGGTGAAGAAGTTTGTAGCTGCATTCATTGAACTAGATGGAGAGGAAATAGCAAGAAAACGCAGAGATAGATCATTAGGAGCATAATAGGGGGTTATGATGACTAAGAGTCACTCCCCTTTTTTGCGGATCGAGCAGAAGCGAAGAGCAGCAATTATTTAGTGCCTTTCTCTTGCCAGAGAATTTCCTTTTTCAGCGATCATTGAAATACAGAGTTTACTTGCATACTGGCGTTCTTGGGGCTGCTTCGGATGCATTCTCGTGCTCTGGTTGGCCGAAGTGAAGTTATGTTCCCCTGGCCGGTAACCAACAACTGCAACAGCCCGTATACCGAAGATGCCAACCAGCAAAATAAACAAAGCAGAACTCGTGCTCTGGTTGGTCGAAGAGAAGTTAACAGTCATGCGATTTCCCCTGGCCTGTAGTTGTCAACGACTCTGCCAGCAAATTTAAACAAGCAGTTGACAGCTTCAGTCTCCACTGCTATCCTATTGCTCTGTTTCAAATAGACCATTTTAGCTTCTTTACTGCTGCTTGTTGTGGCTTCAAAGACTTTCACATTCTAATCATAACTTAGGGCTTCATGTAATCAAAGATGCCTTGGCCTGCAGATGGCCTGCAAATGTTTCTCCCTTCTTTGTAGGAATCTATGTGCAGCTTTCCATCTCAAACAGTTAATGACTGGATTGCAGACTTCTCTTTTGTATGAATGCATCTGAATTCATGCAGTTCTTCATTCTTTCAATTTCTATTGCGTTGATAACACTGCTCCTGTGTTGAAATCTCTATATCACAACAAAGGAGCCGGTCTCTCATACAGTTCCGTCTCAAAACTTCTCAGAGCCTGAGAACTTTATTCTATAGCAGAAAGAAGTGGAGGAGGAGGAGGAGCCTGTGGATGTAGAGGCTGAATCAGACAGCTGCAAGCACCCGTGCCCTGAAGAGGGTGAAGGGGAGCCAGGCCCCTTAATCAAACAGCCTGGCAAAGCCAAGAAGTAGGAGCGGGAGGAGAATGTCGAGATCATAGACCTCAAAGATATGGAGATTGCTCATTTTCAGGCGGAGAACATGGTCTTGAACGCCAAAGTCAATAATGTCAGGGGCCCCCTGAAGGAAGGAGTAGTTAGTATATTTTTTTTTTTTTTTTTTTTTTTGAAAAATGAATATGTTACAGGCTGTTGAGTTAAGATCTCTTTTTATCTGTAATTTCTCTTGTACTGCTAACTGCGCTGTCTTCTCTTAGCACTGCTTGTTACCGTTACCATTTTCTGGTTACATTCGGTCAATGAAACATAGAAAACAAGTGGAAACAATGTGTCTAGCTTGCCTTTGGCTGGATTCCTGCCGCTGCTGGTCTTCATGGCGGATATGGAATGATGGTAAGGTGGAAGGCTACGGCTTCTTAGCAGAGTGGATGGTTTATGGGAGAACGCCATTCTTATACCACGAAAGCTCGTGACCAACTGGTTTTAGCACCTGAAGGCATCCTTGTGAAAGACGGGCTAGATCTCGGAAACTAACTACCTGACAAGGAGTACATCGAGTTGCTGCGATCGATACAGGTAAGGTCAGCCGGTCTATGACAATAAGTGAGGAAATTTATTGGTGTCATTCTTTACAAAAACTGAATATCATTAGACAATCTAATGAGGCGGTAACAAAATGGAATTGAGTGCAGTAACATGTCGCGGCTAAACCTTGGACCGCGTCTTCTTGGGGTGGGTCCTCAGGAGCGGCCCCCCACGTCGCTTGAGGGATTCGCGATTCTCTACCTTCCCAGGCCTGACGTGGAACTCGTGGACCAGCTTCTCTCATCAAGGGATCAGATCACGTTCAGGTTGCCAAGAAGGGTCGTAGCCCCTTCATTTCACAAAGTTCCAGCGCATCTCTTGATCATCTTCCTCGATCACCATCGACTTAAGGATTTCATCGACCAGCCACTCCTCCGTTATCCCTCCACCATCTTCAACCAATACTGTCAGTGGTGGGTTCTGGCCCTCGGAGTTGCCCTCGACATTCCCGACACTGATTTCCCGGCTGCATGTACTGGGCGCAATGAGGGAAATTGGGATTCTATCATTGTAATTCAGACCCGATCATCGTCATCAAGAATGATGGGTGTATCTGGCATCTTAAGAATCCACGCAAGTATAGAGGGGATCGGGCATTTAGGACTTGGGACCCCGACACAACATCAGCTCATTTGCGAACCAATCCCGCCGTGTCCTCGCCAGTGGCGAGCTGATGGCGTGCGCAGTATGAGCACCTGCAGGCCTAGAAGATGGACCAAGGACAGAAATTTGGCCACAAACAGCAGAAAACTACGCAGCAACGTAGATATCATCATGGAGCGGGCAAAAATTGATGCCAAAATTGAGCTACCGCTCCCAGTCTATACCCCACGTTGAATGATCCCAATATCCCGCATGCAAAAGTTGGTCAAAATACTAGTAAAATAAAGGGGGGTAAAATTGCGCGCCGCCCTTCGTCCTGTGACACCAACCGCCATACTTTACAGAAATGCTGATGAATCGCAACCCTCCCCACTTCTGATTCCCTAAACGGTAGCATCGACCGATGCCCGTTCTCGACACGATTGTCATGCGTCCTCTGCCTCCTGGTGCGTTGAACACAAATCTCCAGGAGTAGAGCAAGCCCCCCTTTGATTTATCATGTAGAAGAGCAGAAAATGTAAAGATGGGTAACACTGGCATCGCATCACAATGACACACTATTCCCTTCTCTTCATTTGATTTTAGCGCCAGGATACCAAACCTGAAACCCTGTCTCCAGTGGAGGCCTTCGTTGTCGTTGATTCAGCAACTTGCTACCGGCCAAGAGGCAACATAAGTGTGACCAAGAATTCACCCGTGCTGGAGTAGTTTGGGCCTTGTCCACGTCGCCCATCGGCCACGCCGCAAGGCTTGGAAATGCAGAGATATTTCTTTCCTTCGCTGTGGCACATCACCATTGAGACATGCCCCAGTCTCTGAAAAAGGGAGAAATTTTCAATTTTCATGAGCAAGAGCACAAGTTGGGGCCAGCCAACATAGAATGCATTTCATTACAAAGTTATTTCAACTTTGACCCGAGAAAACCTTAAATAGGGGAAGTAACAAAACAAGCCACGCATATGAACAAATTAGGGTGGTCAGGTATCGAGAGATAGAGCATCAGATTATGCGGGAAATCGTCATAGAAATGGCAAGAGAGGGGGCTGTAAACATAGGACCTGGAATGGGGGAGGACGTTTCTATGGAGGATGTGGGTGTAGACAGCGTGGAGCAAATGGAAGAAACAGAGAAGATTCCAGGGCCTGGGCATAAGGGTGAGGATCCAAATGGACTCGCGTGAGTGAAGATGAGCGTGGGTGAGGGAGGGTGACTGGTGAAGTGTAAAAATTGTAGGTCATTAGAACAGTGAGGTGTGTAGGTTTATATAGGTTAACTATATAACCATAGATGGTGGTCCAGCTGTGGTCGGTGGCACCAACTGCAACCGCAAAAGGGACGGCCGTTTTCCGCCAACGGGAAGGGACCATTTCCCGCCCTGGAGGCCTTCAAAGGCAGATTGCATATGTAATTATTATATACAATTAACAGAACAACTGTAAATGCTAATACTACCAGAGATTTTATCAGGTAGTTATCAATGCAGAGAGTAAATTAATTCTCTCTCATTTTCTTATTAGTTGTCTTTGTTATTAAATATTCTACCATTTTTCCCTTCTCCTAGCTTCTCAGCAGTTCAACAGGTTATAGAAACACTATAAATTTTATAACATTGGAAATGAAATCTATAATTTATTTTTTATTTTTAAAATTGATAGATTATTGTAATTTCTAGATTCAAGATGAACATTTTCAGAACAATGACAAAAGAACCAAGAGAGGAAAAGTAAAAGACCATACCATAAAAGATCAATAGTTTGGCAGAAAACAATTTGCGTATTTCTCCCTTATTCAAAGTAGAAGAGCCAGCACATAGTACCTAGAGCTAACCCGATATCCCATCCGCAGGAATCTCAACATTTGGTAATATAAAGACCAATTCTACATGTTTGATAAGCACCAGAAGCAACTCCAAATTAGGACATCATTTTAATTCATAGGGAAACGAATGAGAGACAATGAAGAATGAACTCACGGGGGATTTGAAGAATCCTGAAAATAACTTAACTCGGTGGAACCCACACTATCCATTCGAAACGCGATCTTCTCCGCCGCAGGACACTCGAAATTAGTCACATTAGAATTCGCCCCGGGACTCAATTTCCGCTCCAGCAACTGGTCTTTCAAAGCTGGCGCGTTCGCAAACGACGTGTTTGTCGTCGCTGCCTTAGCAAGTCTACTAAACTTCACCGCGCCATCGCCTTTGAAGAGAAAGTTCCTCTGTGGGAACAAAAACCAGAGAGAACAACTCATCCCCTTGCTGGAGCTTGGGATGTCGAAGTTGAAGATTGATGAGATGGTTGGGGTGGCTGTGCCATTGTAGGACGTGCCTAGTGCCTTGTCTGGGGCAGTGGAGTCGATGGGAATGATTAGATGCGGGAACTCGAAGCCCTGGGTTAGCTCGCCAGGGCAGGTCTTAGGTGGTTCTCCCTGCATTGGAGCGGGGCCATCACGCCGGACAGTGTTGACGAAGGAGGACTTGTATCTCTGGCCGTTGACTCGTAGGGCCAAGAGGAAGAGGGCGTAGATGGGCTTCATGTTTGCTTAGATGTCCTGGATATGCAGCTGTGTATACGTTGATATGGCTTTTGTTTTCCTGTGCAGCAGGAGCTATATCTTGAATAGAGCTCTATGAGACAAGGAGAATGCCCTATTTATGCATGCGAGAGTGTGTCTGAGAAGAATAGGCTATTTAGAGCCATCGGTTAAAAGCTCTAACTCCTGTCTTGGAGACCGAATTGATTGCTGCTGAGTTGAAGAGATTAGTTGACATTTCCAGCCTCATGGAGGTGATTGTAGTACCACCTCCCGACGGATAACATGATGAAAGAAGAACCGGGCAAATTTGACTACTATCAGAACTGGATTTTGACATGTTTGATAGAAGTAGATATATATATAGGGGCATATGCTGTGCTCGGTGTTTAATTTACAGGGCACCAGGCACCAGTTGTTATACTCAGAGTGGTTCACAGCGTTACATATAAGTTGTCATCCAGAGACAGCTCAAATATGGACCGATAATGCGGCTGGAGAATAGGATAGTATAGACCCATGGCAAGGACGATTTTCCCCTTCCATGGGGGATGGATGTTGGTGAGAAGCAACCTCAGCCAAGAGGCTTGAATTATGAAGCGACCCGGAGTCCTGTCCAAGGAGAAGAACATCCATACATGAGGTGTTCCTAAGACTCCAATCAAAGATTGATTGTACAGTAGCCATTCCTCCGTGAGATATAGAAAATAAGGCTCTCTGAACTATGACGGAGAGTTGCAGGAGAACAGCAACTGCAAGAAAAGTCTTCTTTGACCAGTCAAGATGTCATTGACAGGATAGAAGCCTACTCAGAAGAATTAGCCAGCCTATATAATGGAACCTGACACCGTAGACGGGAAGACATCAAACCAAAGGGGGAAAGCGGCTGTTATACGGAGGACAACCTGTTCCAAGGTGGAGTGAGGATGTGGCGTGCCGTCGGGGATATCTATTATTAATAGATGATGCTGCTATTTCACCAATTTATCTTCCAATGTTGTATTTATCCTCGCTTACCAACAACTCTATCTTCATTCATAGTTTGCTGACCACCGCCACTCTTGTCACAGGTAGATCTCCCCACCTTTCTTTAAAGATTAGAAGTAGCCCTGTACGGATCCTTGACGGTGAATAGAAGTATCGAAACAAAAGCTGTAGACTGCTATATATAAGTGATATTTCTATCTATCGTCTATATAAGTTTGTCAAACTCAACGGCCACACTCGAAACTGGGCCCTTCGAATTCGTTAGCTAACTTAAGTTCCCTATAACTAACTACCGGCGTGAAAAGCCGCCACCAGGGCCAGCGCCAGAGATCCCGCAAAACTGTCAAAACATCCCGCTCCAATGGATCTCTTGATATGTTCAATGTGCGGATCCCAGCATGATACACGGTTCGCCAAATCGTGCAAAATATGCGATGATCCACGACAATATATCCCACAGGAAGGGTGAGATTCCTCAGCGAATTCTGAACAAGGCGTTCTATTTTACCATATCCCCTTTCCTCGCGCCCTGCTACCACCATCACCTTTAGCTTAACATACATGAAAACATACCACCCCGGGGCTTGAATTATTGGAGATAAGAAAACAAGGACATAACAACTAACGAAGAGGCATATCAACTTCGTCCCTTCTGCCACCCCTCATCACAGACAATCATGGACAACACTTCGCCAGCTGCAACAATCCAAAAAATACCACAATGAGTTCCGCATGGATAAGAACCATTCAGGTCTTATCAGTATCCTCACCGTGCCGCAAGTAGGCATTGGCCAACGGGCCTTCCTGTGCTGCACCCCTGCCGGTAACGTGCTCTGGGACTGCATCACATATATCGACGACGACACGATCCGTCAGATCAAAGAGCTGGGCGGCATCAAGGCAATTGTCATCTCACATCCGCACTACTACTCTACCTCCGTCCATTGGGCAGAGGAATTCCATTGTCCCGTCTACATATCCGCTGATGATGAAGAGTTCCTGATGCGTCATGCCCCTACGACAAGGTTAATTACCGCAGCCCAAAGTGCGAAGGGCCACGATTCGTTTCCCGGCCATTTGCTTTGGGAAGGCAAGGAGTTGAATCTTCTAGATGGCGCATTTACGGCTATCAAAGTTGGTGGTCACTTTCCTGGGAGCTCAGTGCTGCTGTGGAAGGAGGCGAAGAAACTCCTGATTGCAGATAGCATCATGGTGGTACCAAGTGGAGTGTATCATGTTGATCGTTTGCCCGGAACCACGTCGTTTTCGTTCATGTGGTCGTACCCTAATTTTGTAAGTTGCTTCGATTTACTTATTTATTTTTTTATCTCCCACCATTTCTGCTTATTTTTAGCATTCCACTCTGTTCCGGAATCCCACATCAAATAGTCTATAGTGACAACTGCTGACGGAATGGGAATTTTTTTCAACTCTTCCCTCTCCCTCATGTAAACAGATTCCCTTACCCCCAAATGATGTGTATGCAATTTGGAAATCCCTCGCCCACCTTGACTTTGAAGACACGCATTCCGCGTTTTGGGGGCGGGATACGATTGGTCAGAGCAAGAAGAGGCTTTTGGAGAGTGCACAGATATATATTAAAGCTGCGGGATATGTTGACCATGCGATTCATCAAGAGAACTTCAAGGAGTAGCTAGTAGGATAATACGCCTTATGCTGTGTCTGTGGCATATATTTGTTTGCTGACGACCTTTATGAGCAAAACGAGGAGAGAACACTCTGATGTTTAATCCTACGAATCTTACTCATGAAGATATTAATAATCTTTTGAAAGGATTTTATTTTGTTTCTCGATCCCGCAGAGCTGCTCTGACATAGTACATTTATCGGTCTTTCCCCTATGTGAAAGGGACCCTTGTGCGAGAGTAAATTCACCCATCATCATTTGCTTCAGTAGCACTCCGTAGGAAAAAGTATGCATGCTATGTTTAGGATTGTATATTTGTGAAAATAAACCTTCGAACAAGTTTATCATACGTTGATGCTATAAACACATCCGGAATAGAGCAAGAGTCTTTTTGTACAGTAAGATTTGGAAAGCAGGGAAATGACCAAAATCAGACAGTATACTGTTACAAATCGAACAATAGAGAACAGTTAAACCGCCAGAGCAACCGCTCTAGTTACATCGGTAGGGTAAGGAAGTAGGGAGGTTTTAGTATCAGACACGTCAACTTAAATAGCTCCTCCGGTAAGCTCCTCGGCAATCTTCTTCACTCTCTTCTCCCCCAGACTCCAAATCGTAGCTTGTGTCTTTCCCTTATGCACCAGAGACTCAATAGTGGATGGGGGACCTAAGTTCCAGATATTCTCTCCAACATCCTCATCGTTCGACCATGCTGGATTCTCGCCCTCGGGGAAGACCCGTTCGATTTCCGCATTCAGCTGCTCTTCATTAATGATGAAATTTCGGGCGTTCATGTACAGAGAGTGGAGACTGTCAATTCTCTGTTGCCTCTTGCTTTGCTGCTTCGAAGCATATTTCGAACGGGAAGCTTCGAGTCGCTGTTCCACATTAGGATCGGGGAGAATCCGCATCTTGCTCGGTTTCATGACTTGAATCGTAGACGGTTGCATTAACCGGTCATCTTCTCGAGGGCCCTGCGCAAGAATCTGTTCACGCTGCGCTATTTTGGCGCTGCTTCGTTTTGCTTTATATGCGTCGCTTTTCTGCTTGCGCGCGTATAGTTCGACTAGACCCTCGCGCAAATTTTGGCGGCGGATGGCAGCCATTCTCTTTTTCCATTCCACATAGTCGAATTGAGGGTCTCCAGGCTGAAGTTTAGGTTTATTGCTTGATGGCTCGGGTGTGGCAGCCTCAACATACGCAGTCGTTGGCTTGTCCGGTCGGCGGGGAGGGAATAGTTC